AGTTGCCGGTTCACTTCAGGGCAAAGCCAGCAGGGGCTTATCACTTATAATTTTAAATTGATTTATTAAAATAATTAAACATTGTATTAATAAAGAGCATTTTAACAAGACAGAGACTATATTACAGTATCTAGGGATCTACTCTTAACGCCCCAACAGCAACCCAGCTATCTTCAAAAAACAAGTCCGTTATTTTACTTCACATTTACTAATTAACGTTTTTTAGATAGATTGTAAATAAAAAATAACAAAAAAATTCTCGAATAGTATACAGTATATGATTTTATAACATGAGTAAAACGCGCAGCTATACTATGAGCCATTTCTATTGTGGATTCCAAAATTTCGCACGCACCTTATCGGTTATCTTAGCAACAAGTGTTTAAGGTGGCTTTGAGCGATGCGTCGGCACATATCAGTTATGACTATCGACTGTTGAAAGCAAACAGCAGACAAGGGGCAATATTTGATAGAAGGCTGATGAAACCAGTTGCTTTTGGTGATTTTTTTAAAATATTTTTGTTGTTGCTTTTTTTTTGCTTTGCAAGTTTAAACAAAAAGCTGGTGTCAATTGGTGGGCGCCTGGTAGCGATGTTCTCGTAACAGAAAGCGGTAGAAATTTAATGGCTTTACAGTTGCCGCCGATTAACTGTTTGGGGGGGTTTTTCGTTCTTTCATTTCACTGATTGTATTAGATAGTTATTTGCTGTGGAACTTTGGAATATGAAGGATAGTTTAACGAGTTGGCATATCTGATTTGTATTGAACACGTGCCGTACCAACACAATTATGGCTAATACTTGTTTAGAAAATTGTGCAATTAGTTGTTTTAACATCTAGTATAAGCGCAATAATTTGATATTTTAGTTTAGTTTTTGTCGATAACAGCACAAGGTAAAAAGCCCCCTCGCCGTAAATTGATGAACTAATATATAAATCATTTAATAATAGTAATACAAAGATAACAAATTGTCAACAGCAAGTGCTATTTAAAAAGGGGTCCGTTAGATGCAGAAAACACTCGCTGAGTTAAAAAGGGAACAGCTTTTGAATTGTACGTTTCCATAAATCATTCAATTCGCAATGTTTACACATCAGCGGGAATCCATATCCATGGTAGCGTTAGACCGATCGGTGATTTACCCGAACTGGTATACACGCCAAAAAAGTATTTACATAAAATATTGTTTACCTTACGTATTATACGAAGGCAAAATTTGGATCATGCGCAACCCACGAGACTAGCACGCATAAACGTGAGAACTTATCTCGGAGTTTTCGCCATATCGCGAGAAGAGTCGCGAACAGAAATCGAAAGCTCTCCAGCAATGAGATTGTGAGGTCGTGTGTGTGTGTGTGGGATATGTGCAAATATTGTTGTTTATAAACAAACTGGTTTATTCGAGGAGGAAATCATTGCCAGCTGTTTGTGAAAATACGTACGCCTGGCAACCAATGAAAGGCAATATGTTTAAAGTTAAAAAGTTGAAACAACAAAATTGCTGAATTGCAAAGACTCTCTCTGCGCACAAATCCACATAAGAATATTAAACTTTTACGATGTCGATCGAACTATATAGCATGTATTTGTATATAGAGTATAGGTTAGATGTTTGTAATCGCGTTGTTATAATTTATGAGCGTCGCTGAAATTTAACGGTCAATATCAATGATTGCTTAACACCGATAAGAATATATTTAAAAAAAACCCATATACATTTAAAAATACCCAAAAAAAAGTTAAGTTTTTCACCCGAACCGAGCCGGTTCAAGTCCGCAATGGCAATTTAGTTTTTAATATGAACTTGGCCTTTTTTCCCATAAATTGATTTGCTTAAATTTGAGAATCATTTGTGGGATACTCAGCCCAAAAGTATAAATAACTCTTTTTAACACTCATATTTAAAGAAAACTCTGACCGACTTCTCTGGGCCAACAGCTGATGGCACTATACATGGCCCTCTGCTTATCAGAGCCAAACGCGATTGCGAATCGAGTGAATCGCGGCAGAGAATTAGGATTGTCACCCCAATTAGCTGGCATCTGGCTATCGCACTCCGAAATAGCAAAAATAAAAAGCCCCGCCGTCGCAGCCGGACGTCTGGGCTCGTATAAAAGCCGACTCCCAGGGGCGATAACGTTCACAGCACAGCCAACGAGCGGCCAGACAACAGCACATCCGAGCGCAAAGCAGCGTCGGGCAAAAAAAAAAAAAAACTAAACAAAAAGCACCGCGACTAAGGCACGCGTCTGAGGGAGTCCCCCCAGAGAGTCGATACGTCAGACGTTAAAAATTTGGCAGCAACAACAATTGGATACACACACACACACGCACACACACAGGGGCATAGACAACTAGATGAAGCAACAAGCAGTCAAATCTATTAAGAGCCCATCAACCAAGATATACGGCATAGTGACTAAATCGTAACAAAAACTCGTCGATCGGTGGTTTTTTTTGTATCGCGATTTTGACAGTGGAAAGATTCTGATTCACACACACACAAAAGCACACCATGGGCGTGAGAGTAATTGAGGCAGATTCGGCGAGCGATTCGTTTGACGATGAGGAATGCTCGGCATGTCAAACAAGCCACAAAAACAAAACAAGTAATGCGAAGCGCAGCACAACGGAGCCAAGCAATGTGCATTATGGCAGCAAGGATCTGGTTGGCAATTGCAAGGAGTATCGCATCGAGAATAATTCTCGCGATCTGCGCATCATTGGTAATGGGAATCGTGTGCGCATCGTCAACAACACGGGTAGTCTGCAGATCATTGGCAACTCGACCAGGCTAAAGATACAGCAGAACAGCGGCCACATCAAGTACACGGGCAACGATGGGCGAATTTATCTGGGCTGCGACTCCAAGCAGCAGAATGTCGACTATATCGGCTGCAATGGACTGCTCAAGGTGGTCAAATCGCTGCAGCTGCAGGGCAGCAAGCGTAGCCGGGCACAGCAGCTGCCAAAGGGTCCAGCTGCGACAAACAAGGCTAATTCTTGTCCAGGCATCGAAATTGACAACAATCTGACCATTGTCAATGGCATTGCCGGCAATATTGTGATTAAGAATGCGATAAATGTGAGCATATGAGCTCTTTTTCTTAGCTCTTTATCTCGAGTCCAAAGTTTAAGTTATTAACTTGCTTGCTAGACTTACATATGGCCAGTTTTGAATGGTTCCTATTGTTATATATATATATAAGATAGTCATTAGCATTAGCTAAACTTTCTGACTGCTCAACATGATTGTCATCCAGGCACTGAAAAGTATTAACCATCAACTAATAATCACAATATCGTCCATCATATATATTCTAATTATGTATTTATAATAGAATTTTACATGTATATATAGTAAGAAATCCGCAATTAACAAAATGTGGATTCGAAAGCTGATCATTCCGTGAATGAACTCTGCATTTGAATATTAAAAATTGCATCATTTTAAACATACCCTTTGAAAATATTGATTTGTGACTTATCAGAGGTTAAAAAACCCCCGTCTAGTATGAAAAAAAAACACAGGGCTACCAATCGTCCGGGTAAATAACCACATGTTGCTTTCGCATTACATATAAGTAGAAATCACAATGACCCAACTCTTGTGGGTTTACACTCAATTTTCTTAGAACTGAAGCCTTATTCACGTTCATAAGAGTTGCACAATGTCAGATTGTTGTTGGCCACTGACATGACCCATTTTTGTTAGTATATTCAAAATAAAAGTACCCCGTATACAATAAGTTTCGACCGATGTGCCTGCCTGCCTGCTGATTAAACAAGCCATAACGTTCGTTTTTCACTAATTGCGCCCTTGTACGTTTGTTTAAAGTTTCAAAAAACGTTCAAGAGTCGCATTTAAATTTTTCGGGGGTTTTATATTACTGTGCAGGTACATAAATAAAACAACAACAACAGATGATATATTGCTCGACACTTTTGTGTTATAATCAATTGACTGATAAGAATAATGTTCAGTGTTTGTGGCTTGAAATCTGATACAGCCTGCAAGCACATCAAATTTAATTAAATGAAAGTACATATATAAGTCAAGAAAGAACAGTTTTCAATTTTCGGCTGATTGTTTCTGTAGGAACTAGCCATTAAACTCCGTTCCTGATAAGATTTTGCTCATATGTTGGGAGCATAATGGCGGGGGACACTGTGAAACAAATCCGCTTCAGATCAAAGCTTTTTCGGTAAAAATGCTTCTCTCCGTCATCAGACTGATCGAACAAGGAGGTCGAGGAAGCCCCAGTCACAATAGAGTGTTGCGGGCGCATTGCCGCCCACTTTTTTTGTAAGACTCCCTGTACATTATAATAATACTAGTGAAGCGCGTATTAGATGAATTGGATAAGATAAGAGCCCAAAAACAACTTATGGGCTGGTTTGCATAGAAACAGATAGACCTAAATACATATGAAAATGTCTAGGCTATTGTTGCCGATAAAAAACCTTCATATATGTATGTATATATTCCATGTGGTAAAATATGTCTCATTGTGTAGTATGCATGTATATACTTATAAACTGAACATACATATAAATTATGGTGCAAAAACAAATTTGCCTATTTGTGTATAATTATGTGTGACCACGTGCACTTACCTTATTATGTTTTACTTATTGTCCCATTAAAGTCAAACTTATAACAAGTATATAAGGTTGGGCAAAAGTCATTAAATTCGGATTACTAAAGCACACTTTATTCGCAAAACCACAGTTTACCGGTTCTATTAACATTCCTTTTTCGTCAACATTGTTTACATTTAGCACTGTGAATTGCAAAATTTGCGTGGTGGAGCGGAAACTATCGTTGTCGTTACGTTTGTGTTTGATGTACTCTTTTATGCGTTTCGTTGCTCATTTTGCGCTATGCTATGCGCTCTGTTAATTGTAAGTGTGTCATGTTATGCTTACGTTCGGCAAGTACGTTTGACGCTTAGCTCGCTAAAATACAAACATTTTGCGACATTTAAAAAACAAAGTCATGTTTGGGCCCGCACAAACGACAACAAATCGTATGAACGATTTTGAGGTGGCATCGCCGCCCGATGACTCCGTCTCCGCGCTCGAGTTCAGTCCAAGCACATTGCAAGTGCAAAAAAATTTCCTCATTGCCGGCAGCTGGGACAACAGCGTGCGCTGTTGGGAGGTGGAACAAAATGGAGCCACAGTGCCAAAATCTATGAAAACAATGGGTGGACCAGTGCTCGATGTGTGCTGGTCCGATGACGGAACCAAAGTGTTTATGGCTTCCTGTGACAAACAGGTCAAGCTTTGGGATCTCGCCTCCGATCAGGTAATGCAAGTTGCTGCCCACGACGGACCAGTCAAGACTTGCCACATGGTAAAAGGACCAAATTATACGTGCCTAATGACCGGCTCCTGGGACAAAACGCTCAAGGTATATACCAAATATGTGGACATATAATACATATTTATAAAAATTGCTTGATATTCATAGTTTTGGGACACGCGCACACCCAATCCCATGATGGCCATTAATCTGCCTGAACGCTGCTATTGTGCAGATGTTGACTATCCCATGGCCGTGGTGGGCACTGCGGGTCGTGGCCTGATCATTTACTCGCTGGAAAACAGTCCCACCGAGTACAAGCGACAGGAGAGTCCGCTCAAATACCAGCATCGCACGATATCTATATTTAAGGACAAGAAGAAGACGCCCACAGGCTATGCGCTGGGCAGCATAGAGGGACGCGTGGCCATACAGTACGTGAACCCAGTAAATCCCAAGGATAACTTTACATTCAAATGCCACCGCTCGACGGGTACCTCGGGCTTCCAAGATATCTACGCTGTAAACGACATTGCATTCCATCCCGTGCATGGAACTTTGGTCACAGTGGGATCGGATGGCACATTCAGTTTCTGGGACAAAGATGCACGAACCAAGCTCAAATCCAGTGAAGCCATGGATCAATCTATTACGAAATGTGGCTTCAATGCCAATGGGCAAATATTCGCATACGCTGTCGGGTACGACTGGTCCAAGGGACATGAATACTTTAATCCGGCCAAAAAACCACAGATTTTCCTGCGCTCCTGCTATGACGAACTAAAGCCGCGCGTCAACTGATCGGAAACGTGCTTTAGTTTTAGTCACGACATGTTCTGCGAGTAATATCAATCATTAATTTGTAGCGTATCATTAAATATCGAAGCGCATTCGCATTTGCATTTTTATTGTACTAAAACACTTAATTTAATGATGCTTCTTATCCTCGTGACCGTGTTCGCTGTCATGACCGTGTCCATGTCCACCCTGGCCCTTGCCAATACCGAGCGCATACTCCACCGCGATGGTGGCCAGAAATGCACAAAATCCGACGCCGAGGCCACGGAACATAAATGTGGTCAGGCGAGAGCGGTGAGTGCCGAATGCCTTCTTTTCATAGCGCCAGGCCTCGTTCCTACATCAGCCAAAGTTTCCATTGTTTTAATAGGAAGAGGTAAAAAATTTAAGCTCGACCACTTACCTCAGCCATGGATCATTCAAGCCTTGTCGGGCAAGCGCCTCTTTCACTTGAAGCAGTTGCGGTACATTCTCCACCTTATAAATTGATGGATGCGGCACCGTATAGGGTTCTCCGTGATGTCCACCCATTATTTATTTTCTGAAATGTGTGTGTAAAGTGGTTTTAATAATGCGAATTGGCGATTTAACAGATGTTAACCTAACGCTGAAAATTACATAAGTGAGTTTGCGTTTTGAACGCTTTATGCCAGCTTAGATTGGGCAAATACAAAAGAATATACTTAATAAGCACTAGTTGTTTAAATTAATTAAAAGCTTCACGCAAATAATCAAAAAAGAGCAAGGAATTAACTAATTTGTTGAAATACACACTTTTGTTGCCACAATAACAGCAAAATGAACACAATGTGAGAAATATGTTAAATGTTATCGATAATAATGACTTAAAATACACTAAAAATGACAAATGCATATCAGTTTGCTTACTTGTAAAACGTGGCAACGCCTTACATTCAATCTTTCGCGCCTAACAAAAATCAGATCAAGCTAACAATGGATTTATCCATGCAGTACACAAAAAACCAGACCACCCACTTTTATTTTTGACATATTTATTGATACTTTAAGTTTATTTTGCAATCAGTAGAACATTTGTAATTTTTAAACGTGCTTAAGTGAAAATATACATATTTTATATCTTTTTTTTTAACTTTTTTTTTTCCATTTAATTCTCTAGTTATACAATAAGTAATAGTAATATACATGTATATGTTTTAGGATTTATGTTAATAGCGTTTTTCTTGCTCCTCACACTTTTACAGATTAACTGTGATTGCTACAATTAGAAAGGAAACGATTTAAAGCAAAAGATGAAAAATATTATAACAAAATACTGTTCTTACGCTTTGTCATTTGCATTGTATGTATTGTAATAGCTAGGTATAAAAACGCATGACGTGCATGCTAATTAATTATTTAAAATACAATACATATATATTCATATAGTTGTTTCGCATATTCATAAACATTTCTCACAAACCTAAAACAGCAAAGTCATTATTTTGCTAATAGAACAAAATTCGTTTCCATTGTGTTTTATAGTATTTTTTCAGCGCTTGGAAATGCATAAGCTTGAACAATATATTAATATTTCAATTAATTAATCATTAAACTTGTATCTACGTTTGGAAGAAACATTTTCAAACACATTTCACAATTTCGATTTTCACATTGAGAAGGCTCTAAACAGCACTTATCGTATGGTGTTTAAAAAAGTTGGCATTATATATCCATAATATTTTGTTTTTCTTTTTTTTTTGTTTTATCTGGTTAATTTTGTTAGTTTTTACTTTTGTATTATTTTTCTTTTTGTTAAGCTGAATCACATTTCGAATTTCTAAATATTAGTTTCATAATTTAACACATGTTGCTACAACAATTTAGGTATTTTTTGAAATCAAATTGTACTTTTAACTTATTCTCCGTTCCCGACCGCGCACTGTGCGTGAGCTTCTTCGCTGGTAGATTTAAATGGGGCAACAGCTGCAGCAGTTGCAGCCAAAGCAGCTAGCTAGATGCTCTCTTCGCCCAATATCTCGTTGAGCAGGCGATTGAGACTGTCCAGGCCAGTGAGAAAGCCACCGTCGGGTCCATGGTGCACGGGCGCGGCGGCTGAAGGTGTTGGCAGCATGCTGCCATTGCGTGGCACAAACGCTGTGTGGGCAAAATCAATGAGACGCACATCTACAAAGCAGGCCGAATCGTCTGTGGGCGGTGCCGACATGTCCAGTGACTTGGAGCCATGCATTAGCGCAGAATTGCGAGTTGCAGCTGTGTTCGCCTTTGGCTCGCTGCTGGTATTGTTATCGCTGCCCTCAGCACTGGCCCGGCGCTCCAGGGAATCAAGCAGAATTCCGCCGAGCAGTGAGTTGGATATATTCTCACAACTGCACTGCACCCGCGACTTTGAAGGTGAGGAAACAGCAGAAACGGGCGTGGATGTTATGGTTGACTTTTTGGCCTCCCTGGGATCATCGTGAGCCGCATAGTGCTCGTCGTCGTCCTTGCAGCGCAGACGCTTGACGGCGCCCTTTACCGACTTCAGCGACGAGGCGCTGGAGGAGTTTGGTGATACCAGGGACTTGATGGTGGCGTTTGAGTTGCTAGCTGTGTGGGGCGGCGAGGTGGGCTCCATGCTGCCAGCTGCAGCGGACGCATCGAAGGACTGCTGTGACTTGTAGCGCTTGAACATTGCCTCTGTGGGTCCAATAATGCTGCTCTCGTAGTCCGAGCTGCCATCATCGGAGCTGTTGTTACCTGTGGATGAGTAAGATTAAATGGATGAGATTTCATGGATTCACACTAGAGGACTTACAAGTCTGGCGGCCGCTGGCTACAGCCTTGATTTGCTCTGATAGGCCCGAGAAGTCGTCGCTGCTATTGCTGCTGTAGTTCATCCAGGAGTCACCGGAATGTGGCGATGAGGTTGTCACACTGGGCAGCGCTGGCTCAGGATCCAGGAATACTGTCTCTTCGGAAATTGGAATGAATGCAGGTGTGGCGTTGCCATTGGCACTGCCCTTCCCACCAGTCGCTGTTTTGGCGGGCAGCACACCGCAGGTGCGCGGTGGCGGCATGGCGGACAAATGCTTATGCTGTGCCTTGTTATTTACGTTATCCTCCTCCTCATCTTCCTCCTCGTCAGTGGTGGTCGTGGAGCTTGTGGCAGTCTGCTTGACGCCACGAGCCGCCGCCTCCGCAAAGCCACGTTTGTGCAGATGACGACGCGTGGCCAGATTCAGGCGCGAGTTAGAGTCATTGGAGGCATCCGCATCATAATTGCAGCCATCGGCGCCTGTGCTGCTATTGGTGGCCGAAGCGTTGCCGCTATCAACAGCTGCCACCAATTGCAAATCCTCGTCAGTATCGTGCGGCTCCAGCTCGTCGCCCGCCTCGTGACCTGCCTCATCGTCCTCGATGTCATCTTCGTCTATGCTGTTTTCTGGATGATAATCAAAGGCGCCTGACGGCTGCAGGGTGGCTGACTTGGGAGCCTCCAGCCAATCATCTAAATCCATGGAGGGCGGATGGGCCATAGGATTTTCCTCATAGCCCTCGTACACGATCAGCAGGGAGCTGTCAAAGGAATAAACAATGTTAAGAAATTTCTCTCAATTAAAGACAATATCATGTGCTTACCAGGAATAGAATCTATAACTGGACTGCTTCTCGATGACGCGACGCAGCTGCATCAGTCGCTGCAGTATCTTGCGTATGACGCGAATGCGCAGACGATAGCCATTGTAGAAGAAGTCATGCAAGGCGGTCTTGAAGCCCGCCTCGTTAAGCTCACGTCCCCAGTATTTGTCCCGTTTGGCGTACTGTTCCAGATCGGCCTGGTAGGTCTGCATGCCACACAGCCGCACGCCAAGCGAACCTGAAGTGCTGGCCGCACACTTGGCCATCTGTTTGGAGCGCTTCTCTGCGGAAGCATCGTCGCCATGCTGCCGGGTGCCCATCTTTAGATCCAGAATGCAGGGATTGCGAAACTGCGATGTGATATTCTCGAGCATCAAAAAATCTGTGAATCGAAATCGAAGCCAGAAGATTAGGTAAAATGTTGCAAAACCTATAAGATCAATATATATGTATATATGTCTTGATTGGGTTTTCTGTCCAGGTCCCGAGCCAGGGCACAGGATACTAACATTGCTTATTGGAGTTGTCAAGTTGCGAAATGCTCTTGATAACATCGGCCGCATTTCCGTTCTTATGCACCTTCATTCTGCAAATAATCCAGGCGAGATGTGTGGGATTAATATGGTATCAAGCGAGACAAGTGTACAATGCTGCGACCCCATTTAGATGGCACAAATGAGTGACCTAAAACAAAATAAGCTGGAAGTTTTCGTTTTCTTTTGTTTCTTTTTTTCGTTTTGTTTTTTATACAGCATGTTTTGTTCCATTGAAAACGCAAGAGCGTCATCTAGCGCAGAGTAGGCAGACTGAAGAACTAACCAGAGCTTAGTTCCACGATTTTTGAATACATCACAGGCTGTTTTTTGCTCAAATCAATTTATCAGTTGCAAACACATGTATCCCGTTTTCAATGAAACCAAACGTTGCGCAGTTTCCAATTGGATAGTCAAAAAAAAAAGAACAAAATTCGCATACACATACTATGGTTGTAAGATTTGCATACCCAATACCCGTAACAATGTCTGACAGGGGCGAGTGCGTGTTTGTTTTTTGTATGCATTGCACAATCTAAAACAAAAATAAAATTCATTTCCATTTGCTTGGCTGAATAACGCTTCAGTCATGTGTTATATTTATATATATATATATATATGTATATATATACATATATAACTATACATATATACTATATACATATATAACATATTTAACTATGTATATATATAAAGGTATATATGTATATATATATGTAAGTCAGTTGAGGCAGTATAGGTGTAAGGTGCAGGCTGTGGGGCTGTCCTATGACGGACATGAGTTTCGGAATGGTTCTACATACCTGAGTACTTCGTCGCGCTTGCGCTTCGAGGCGCTCATCTTGCGTACGGGCACCGCGGCGGCATCGTCCCGGAAGCTGGGCGAATAGCGCTTGTCCAGCTTAACGCCGCCCATGGTAGTCGCTTGCATAACGCCTGGAAATAGAATGGGACCGGCATACGATAAGTCTAAGTTTTTGTGCCTGTTTCGATGTGCGTTTTAACTCTATAAATGTTTTTTATGTATGTATGTAATTTTGTATCGTAACGATACAACAACAAACTTGGGGTTAAGTTCTTGTGGTTAGGATTACGCAATGGGTAAATGGGACCTGACTTATAACAAATAAGTTAGGCATTGGACACATATATAAGTGATACATCATGATTGATACGCAGCACAGACAAATGATTCTATGAATAGACCCCCGAGAGATCAATTGAAAAAGAAAATACAGATGATACATCTTAAACACTTTTGAAAAAATGTATATGTACTCCTTATAGACCGACTCATCCCCAATTAACTGCATGCATAGGCAAATTCGGATGGACTTGGAACAGTTAACATAAAGCGGCATGATAAACATTGAGATTTATGGCTTATGATTATAAGACCTAAACTAGTTGTGAGCAGGGTGCAATTTTCAGACTTAGTCAATCGATAGAAAAACATGTGCATAAATCCGAAAAACACTAGAAAGTTTCAAATGTTTTTTATGTCTTTTTTTAAAATCTTTTTTGTTACTAGTGTCCTACGCTTAGCTTAAAACCATAAAAGTATACAACTACTTATATAAGGAACTGAATATCTTAGATTTAGTTTGGGGAAATTAAGTATCGCAATTGTATTTGCATAAAATATGTGATAAAATATAGTATAGTATAGTATAGTAAAGTATAGTATGTGTGTTTATTCATACAAACCCGTAGATTTGCCATTGTCATAATTGGCTTGCTTGCATTTCTAATCGGCTTTCGTACTGTGAGAGTCTCGGAGACGTTCAGTTCCAGAGACAGACAGAGCAGAGCAGAGCTGAGCTGAGCTGAGAGAAGAGCAGAGCAGAGCGGATTTGATCCGATCCGATCCGATCAGATCCGATTAGATCGGCAAAGGCCTAGGGACGACGACGACGATGACACATGACTTTAGCACAACAACAACAACGTTCTCGTCGTACTCGTTTTGAGGAGGGGGCAGCACGATGTGCGTTCTGAACAAACACATAGAATAAAACACGATTTTTCGTTTTTGCGAGAAATTGGATAAAAAATTGCATTGATTTTTGTTTTTTTTTTTTACTGTTTTTTTTTTGTTTTGTTTTGTTAAGATTTTTAGTTTACGCTTTCATTCTCGAGTTTTGTTTTCGGTTTCGTTTCGAGGCTGCTCTCCGCATTGGTTCATTGATTGGTTCAGCGGCAGATCACGATCACGAGGTCTGTCAGTCGGCACTTCGAACCTTTGGATAATACGAGCATAGAGCGTAGATATGTAGTGGCAACGGGCACGCCCCTAGCTCCAGGCTATACCACCTGGTGCAAGGACGTGCATTATTTAAAGTTTTTTTTTTTGGTTTTTGTTTTTTTTTTTTTTAATTTAATTAATTTAGTTTATTCTTTATTTTTGTTTCTTATAAGTTGTATAATTTTTGCAGGTTTCAACAAAAATTGTACAACCTTTATAGTTGGGTGCATTGTCAAAGGTTTTCAGATTTGTACTTTGCATAATACATATACAAAAATATATGTATATATACTGGTAAAAATCTGTTTGCTACAGGTTTTTGTTTTGTTTTTATTTTTTTTGTGTATTTGCGACTTACCCTTTGCTGTCACATGGCTACTAACTAAAAGTTCTTATGTGATAAAATGGTACTGTGTGTGCGGGTTGGCCAGGCGCTTGGACTACTTCCAGGCGTCGAGTCAGACAATAATTGGGCATGGCAGCTATAATATTTTTATTTCGCTTTTCGTATTACAAATATTTAAAGCTATAATTTACCTATAGATTACGTTATGGTTCAGTCAATTTGTTGTTTAATTTTTTTCGTCACTTTTTTCTTTTCTTTTATTTTTTTTTTTAGTTTTTCTTTTTTTGTGCTCTGTTTTTATTTGTTTTCATTCAATTTCAATACTTACAATCTACGGATATCACATATAAGAATACTTAAAATAAAAATGATATTCAAATGCGGTTTTGACTTTAACTAAGGACAATACAGAAGAGCGCATAAAATTTTGTTGTTTGAACAAATGCGAGTTAGTACAAAACAAAAGTTGAATACAGCATCGGCGATTTGGAAACTCAAGACATATATGGCAATATCATATCATTTTTTTTATTCTTCTTTTTTTATTTTTATTGAATTTTGTTTTTTTTTTTTTAATGTATGATAGAACGAGCAGTTAATTCGAAATGAAATATATATAGCTTATGAAGCGCTTCGATAGAATCGATAATCGTTGTGGGTGGTTAATAAGAGGAATATAGTCGGTATCTTACCTTTGTACTTGGGCACAAACTTCTGTACGTCCTGCGGAATGTTCTGATAGAAGTCCAATTCGCGCAAATTCAGCGGCTTGATCACCGTCGATTGGTTGAGCAACAACAGGCGCGTGTGTCCTCCCACCTGTAATTATAAATGATACGGCATGTATAGTAATGTTGCATTGCCAACACATAAGAGCCACATCTAAACTATTGATTGACTTATTACCGCAAGCTAGTAGGCTAGACGGCTCCGCTAGAAAGCTACATATTCTCAAAACTCTACACGAAACTAGTTAAAGTGCTCTAGTCGACCATGAGATACCCTGTACTTTTTGAACACACACACGAAGCTTGTGTACTTGTGCTTCTTCTTTCCTTAGTCACACACTTAAAGAAAAGTTCTGTCAGTTCAGTCTGATCTATATAGCATATAAAAGTGTTTGTCCACCAAAACGCAAGGCTCTAGATTTGATAATCTTCGAGCTGTGTTCTTTATATCGATTTTTATTGGTATGAAAACGAACTTGTTCTTCGTATGTTATAGCAGAGAATATATATATTTCACGTTTGGAGTCTCTGCCTTTTGTTTTTCCAAAAATTTCAAGAGAACATCTTAGGACAAGTTAGTCGCGTGGTCAATTCCACCATATCTTATCAGCCGCCCTACGTCATGCGACGATTTGATAAGCAACAGTTGTTTTGTATTCGACAATTGTTTTGTAATCGCACCTAGATTGTTGTCCTTAATCTTTACGAACTTGGATTTGTCAGCACAGCAGCACTAGGCTCAGTGAAAGTAGCAAGCATATCGGATGGGATATCAGCTTATCAAATGGACGGCAGGTTCAAGTAAACACCAGCTGATAAGTATGCCTAAGAGGCACAGATAAATTGATGGGATGTGGAAAGTGGTACCAAATGTGTTTCAAAGAAACCTACTTATTGTTCGAATGAGCACTCTGTGCTTAACATATTTTGAGTAGTATTCAAAAATCGGATTATACTAGTTACAAGATGACATAAATTTAAAAGTTAAGGCTGAAATAAAATATTGCAATTATTGTTTTATATTTTACTAGCACCAATGGCAATTGATTGAATGTTTTATTCGATATCAGCGCTCCCAGAGAATCAGTTGGTTCGGTGTCATCAATGCGATGCAATCAATTCATTACAAATTGAAGAATGGATTGGGAAAAACGACAAAGTATCCAGAGGCTTTTGTCGTTAGACATTCGGCGGCCATAAGAATTGTTTTCAGTAAGAAGGCGAAGAAATCAGTTGATTCCCAAACTGATAATATCCGATTCGGTCCAAATGTTGCCCGGGGTTCTGTAGCTTCTAACGCATCGCAAGGCAACAAACACAAAAAGAAACGAACATCTAAGAAAAGACGTTCCAAGAGTATTAGGGGCCAATCGACAACCACCCCCCATGCCCACGGGTCTGTGAAAGCTGGGTCGCCTAGGAGTTCGAATGTGCATAATAGGAAAAGCAGAGCTAAGTCCATCCATCGCAAAGTTGAAATGAAGACTACTCGCAATGGTTATATAACAAAAATGAAGCCTGAATTATCGAGTGGAACAAACAAAATCTGTGATTCGCCACACGATGGTCGACTCATAATCAAAGAGAATCTACGCTTACAAGTGGATGTTCTCTTCAATTTGTTATTTTCGAGCACATCTAAATTCCTAACCGATTTCCATGCCAAGCGCAACTCTACGGATCTCAACATGGGCCCCTGGAAGACCAACAAGGACGGATTGCAGATGCGTACTGTTAATGTGACCGTTGCGTTGCAGGCGAGCGTTGGACCCAAGACGTCAAAAGTCACCGAAAGCCAAACCATACGCTCGTGCAGCGCTCCCGGCGAACTGTATTCTATAGACATTGAGACTGTCAACGAGGGCATACCCTACGCCGACGTCTTCAATATTGTCACACACTATTGTCTGATACGGTCGAAAAACAACAGCACCGACATGCTGGTCTTCGCCAATGTCAATTTCATCAAATCCACCTGGGCGGTGATAAAGGCCTTCATTGTAAAGCACTCATATGAGGGCTTGTCAGACTTCTTTCAACATTTGCACGAGGAGTTGCTATTAGAAGCGGCCAAGCGGGAAAAGAAATGATTTACTGTATATGTTACATAGTCAGGTAACTTGCTGGCATTACAGTATGATTATTTCCGAATATGCTGTCCCCGAGCTAGTATTTGACTTATATTCTTCATGTATACTAGACTTGACTCATGCTGATTCCAAGGAGCTCTCAATTTGTAATTAAATAGATTTATAAAGCAATTTGTAATCAAATTGATTTAAAAAATCGATGTTTTTTATTCGAACTACTAACCTGATTGGAAAGCGGATGAAGTGCCACCTCATCCTCGTTGTCCACGAGATCCTTGCTTAGCTGTGTGGACTTTGGCTTGCCGACGCAACTATCGGCCGTTGATTGCGAGGTGTTTGGCTCAGAGCATTGCCGTAACCAAGACGAATGTACCTTAAGCGCAGCACCAGTGCCTGGATGAGAATCAGTCTGCTGCAGCTGCTGCTGTTGCTGCTGCTGCTGTTGTGATTTGGAGGGCGTGTTGCAGGTGCTGTTGTTGTTATTGCCGCCGCTGCTTACCGATAGTTGCTGTAGGTTAGCGGTTACCAGGCTGCTGCTGCTGCTTCTGGGCCCAGCCACATGTTGTTGCTGCTGCTGCTGCTGCTGTAGGAAGCTGGAGCCGCTGGCGAATTGCAGCTGCGATTGCAGTAGGCTTAGGCTAGTTGAGATTTGTGCAACCAGCTGATGTTGTTGTTGTTGTTGCTGCTGCTGCTGCTGGTGCTGCTGCTGTTGCTGTTGTTGTTGCTGCTGGTGTCCATGGATGCGTTGGTGCTGCTGCTGTTGTTGTTGTTGTATATTTGGAACATGCTGCTGATATGACGACAAGTCAGAATCTCCCATGCCCCAATCCCCCAAGAAATATACCATTCCCTGCCGCGCGAAACAGTTTAACGAGTTGCAGTTTTTGTTGCTGCTGCTTTTCTATTTTCCGCAACTTGCTGTTGCTGCTGCTGCTATTGTTTTTGTTTTGTTGTTGTTGTTGTTGTTGTATCTGTAACGAGAAACAAGAATTGCATTACAATTGGGTTAAGCATGTGAAAAACCCCAAGCGTTAAACGATCGATATACTCGCGACCGGACCGGACCCGACCCGACCGGAACCGGTTCGCAAATGCACGCAACACACACTGCACGCGATTCTTGAAGTGCATTTTACACAGATGTCGACCGGGTTCAATGTCACTTCCTCAACGGAACACGGAATACTAGCAATATATACGTATATATTCCGGTTTCAATGTGTGCCTTAACAATTATTACATAAATTGATGATCATGCTAAGCATTTAATCAGCGATCTTCAAGGCATAGATAATAATCTACAGAGGTCAGAGTTTAAGACTCGGCCTATACTAAATTCCTTAGCTTAATGATTAATCTAAAGGGATCTTTAAAGGGCAACTAAAAATAGCAAGCATTCTAAAAATAGGTGCAATATATTGTTGCTGTTCTCAGAGTGTCGCAGAAGAGTAAGTAAGCAGGTTACCGGTTCGAATCCTATTCAAGAGTATGACATCGACTAATATCTTAACCGACTCAGAGCACAACTATGTCCCAGGCACAATCCTATATACATGCACGATTCAAGAAATGCACAGCTGATTCCCAACGCAATAGACCTGTGCTATAAGCCTGCACATCAGTCGCGCTATGCGATCAGGCGATTAACTTTGTCTGTTCAGCTGCCTAGCGTAACAGAATAGTCAGTGTTGCATATGGAAAACTCATCTGAAGCGTAGTCCCACTTTCTACATAGATGATCCACTCGGCTGACAATCTGCGCCACAATCAAATCGAACTGTGAACCATAGAACGACTTAATGAAGCGTATGGTTAATTGAATTCAATTGAGAAGAGCGAGACGCGAATTGTGGGCTGTGATTGCTGTTGTGGTCAATCAGGCGTGTGCCACGTGAGTGTGTGAATTAAATGCGAGGATCGGCTGAGTCGATCCGATCGGTCATTGATACTGTTAGCTGGGCACACGGGGCAGCAGCTATCAATTGGGCAATTGTTAATTGAGTTATCGTTTGTGCAAATTGCAATCAACTTGCGAAAATCGCACCATCTAAAAATTGCGCATTCGTCTGGGCAGCAGACGACAACACACCCCCTCATTGACCCGCCCCTCATTAAGCTACGAGTTAACACAAAACTGTAGACGTCATAAAAAGATAGCATATTGGCATTCTGGTTAATGCATATTTGCCTGCTATAACTACACTTAAGCTTCTGTATCTGTATCTGTATGTGCATCTGTAACTGTATCTTTTGCTAAGCTTGTATCTAGCAAATATGTGCATATGGCTAATTGCGTTAGACGGCGGCAACTAAATGCCAGGCGGCGCGACTTTTAATCTGCTTTATCTGGAACTGGAAAAACTATAGTTTGCCAGCATTTGTTTGTATTTGTTTTAAGACATCAAATAAGGAAGCCATTTGGCCTAACTGAATAACTGAATGTCATATGAAACTTGTTCCATATGTGATTCATTCTATAAAATTATTGAATATATGTTTCGACGCTGTCTGTATTGCAAAATTGAAGTCTAAGCAAACATTTCGAATATAGGGGAATTCACCTGAGCGTCAAGGGCACAAGTGTATAATGAACAATGGCTGCTGTTCAGGGGGGGATTTTCGTCTCGCTCAGTACGTAATCGCCGTGTCATTAACTTGGAAGCAGTCAACGATCGGTCAATGTTCGCGTATCTGGCAACTGATCCAAAAAGACGTTTTCAGCTGAATGCGACGCATCGCATTGCTTATCTTTTTCAGTGGCCAAATCAGTATGATATGCGTAGTATACTCATTTGTTTTTAAAAATACGGCTATTATAAATAGCGTAGTGAATGCGTCAATTCAAACTGTCAATTGCCGAGCGAATGCGGCAGGCAAAACAATTGATGGAACACGGAACACATTCGAGGCTAATCGATACAAGGGGCGAGTGTAGAGGCCTATTAAAGCATTTGATCAGTGTATTCATTTAATCGAATAATTAAAAGACAGAGAGAAAGTGCCAATTGCGACGCAGACTAAGCAAGACGGAGAGAGATAGCGCGCCAGCTGAGTCAGCCAATAGTCTACACTCAAACGCGGGGCTATCCTTATCAAAAACAGAACGGAACAGAACTGAGCGAACCACTCGCCTGTTTGCTCCACTCACCAAAACTGGGCCACAAGCAAATTTGGATTCACACAACTCTTGATGGCAACCAAAATGAAAGTAAACAAAAGCCCCAAATTTCCCATGCTCCACATGGGTCTGTGTGAGTGTGTGTGTATGTGTGTATATATATGCATTGTATGTACGTATCTGTATATTTATACGTGTAGATGGCCCAAAAGTGGGTCAAAGCTTGCCAGATATCAGGGCAGTAGCAACTGAAACAGCTGTCAATAGCTGGGCCTATGAATTGTTAGACATTACAAAGTGAACATTAAAACAAAACATTGCCATCAAAATATTGTTAATAATAATAAACTCGTATTATTAAAACAAAACACAAAAGCAAAAGACGTAAAACGCACAATCACACAATCAGCTTGGAAACAATTGATATATGCATATATATAGCAGCTATATATAAAATATATGTACATATATATTACAGTGAAATCGGTTCCAGCATTTTTATTTGCGAAATGTCCGCCTTAAAAATGTATGTTTAACAAAAACAAGAATATATGTGTGTATGTTAATTATTAGTTCTCATGAAACCGGATATTTGAACATCTATTTGAACATCGTTGCCTGAGCATCGCACTAACAACCGGCAGGTCGCCGGTTCAAATACAGTATTTTACACGAAGAGGCGAATATTTAAGCTGAGGTTGACGAGAATAACATTAACAATTTCGGAACCAGTTGCGTTTTCAACATTATTTAATTGAACCGGGTGACGACGGGTAATTTCTTCTAGACGGCGATTAAAGAGTTAAGATTCTATATTTTCCATAGTTTTAAAGCGTGTTGCTTTCATGCACAGACACGTATTTCTGTAGCTTAAGAATGCTCGCTTATCTTTATAGTGTTTTGTATTAATGAAGGTGCAAATTTCATACAAATTGAAAACACCTTGTCGCATATATAAATATTTCCTATAAACTACACTTCTGTGGCAGACTTAAAGCATTTTTTGACATTTAGGCCGTTCAATTTCGGTGACGAAAACAACAATAAAAATACAAAATGCGCAAATATTTATTGAATTTATTTAGCACTTCACGAAATTCAAATCAAAGGCCAAAGTTTGCTCTCAAAAATGCGAATCATCGAAGAGTTCATTTATTGTTAATGCCCAGAAGTGAATATGTAAAATGTAAAATGTATATGTATATGTGTGTGTACCTATATGCATGCACATGCATGTAAATCAACGCCTAATTTGTTTGCTTTGCAAGCCCAAAGTGCATATAAATAGGAAAATTTTGAAATTGGAACGCGTGTAAAATCAAAGCAGCGAAAAAAGGCCTGCCGTAGCCCGCAACAGCGCGAGTGTGTGTGAGAGAGAGTGTCTTAGCGCACGAGTGTGTGTGTGAAGCTGCTGATAACAAAAGGTGTCAGGCGAGAGGGAATATTGAGACGCAGCAAATGTGAATCGGCAATTAAGAAAGAGCGCTTAGAAACAACAAGGCACAGAAAGTGGGAGGTAGTAAAATGCCCAAGGCAAACGGTACAGACAAAAGGAAGAATACAAGAAATACATTTGGAGAGCATACAAAGTAACTTCCCAGTGGGAGATCCCCCATGGCTGACTGTATGTTTTCCAGATGTTCTGATGAATTGCCATATCTTATCATATAATTAAATTTGAAGCAGAAAAACAGCAAATAACTCTCACTGCAAATTACGTTTGCTGTTGGGCGCATGTCTTTAAATACTTAACTGTATAGGGTATAAATTAGTACCCACATATGTATGTATGTATTATGTATATGTGTTGCGCTTATTGTTGGGCCTATATTACTGTGTCTGAATACTTAACTGTATATGGTATATACATATGTACATATTTTAACATATGTGACTATTTGCGGCGCATTTAAATGTAGGAAAAGAAAGCCATATCTGGCAATGGAGCGAATGCGATAAAACAATGAGTGCAATACAATGAGTGCACATACAAGAAACTGTAATAAGTATGCGGATTAAAAAATTAAATAGCGATCATTAGTCATGCATTTGGGTGTCTGGCCAGATCAAAAACGGATTTGTCTGATGATCGCATAATCACATTTTTATTTGTTTTTGAAGTGGGAATTCGCTGATATTCGCATAATTAACATGGATTGTTATTTTTTTGGCAGCTGCAGCCGCAAGCGACATAAAACTGAAACGAGTTTTAGCTCGACAAAATGTGTTAATAATTTATGCACACCAACACACTCAAACACAAGGCAGACACACGCTCGCTTGATTATAGATTTCTCATATCAAAACAAAAAGCAGCTGTGGGACAGCAAGTATACGTGGAACTGGCCACAGAAAACAAAAATAATAAAGCAACAACAGTCGATGCCGATGACGATGTCGATGACTATGACGACAAAAGCAGCAGTTGAAGAGCAGATAAAAACACGTACTCATAGCAACAACAATACAAAAAAAAAATAACCCTATTCAAAACAAAAGATCAAGACAAATAGCGAAGCAGCAGCAGCATAAGCAACAACGGCGACCATAAAAAGAAACAAATAAGAAAAAAACGCCTCTTGAACTGACTGCTTCGCGTCGCTGCTGCTCTCACACTCTTTCTCTCTATCTCTCTCGCTCCGTCTCCCACACTCACTCTCTTCTGTCAACTCGTCACTCTTTTGGCTGCTCTTGCATTGCGTGGCCGTTGCTGCCCATTTTTTTCCATCACCACCGCCTGCTCTTTACTTGGCTATTTTTACAGCACACATCAAAAAATTAAATAAAGTTTACTAATACCACTGCATGCAATCGCACACAGCCAA